TAATGCTCCTACTCATTAGCATATGAAATTACCAAACTCATAAAAACTAACAACTCTGCATCTTGTGGTCGTTCTCTCTCTCTTGCCTTCTGAGATGGCCGGCATTCTGTCTATGGAATGTGTACCTCTCTAAATAAACTTCCTTCCCCTTTACCATGCCTTGCTCTTGAATTCTTTCCTGTACAAAGCAAGAACCTATTCTTCTGCAACAAAAGGAAGTGAAGGCAATAAAGGATACAAGGAAGAGTCTATGAATTGCAGCTTATAGAAGGAAAAGGACTAAAGGGATAAAACTCCTGCTAGGAATGCTATCACGAAGACCAGACAGGAAGGTAAACTGCAAAGCAGTGTGAATATTTTAAAGCACTAAACAAATACATTTTTATAATTGTTACAGTATTACATGTTTAATCTCTAGAAAAGCCACATAACGTTGCAAGAGCCACACTTCCCCAAATTTTCCAGTGTCCCTTCCTCACCAAGTCAATTGGATCTCCATCTCCCTCAAAGTCTTTCAGTCATTAATAAATCTTTTCTTAAGTGTTTATACAACTCAAGAAGCACCAACTGAATGGCGACCATGTGTCAAACACTACAATAGGCACTTTCATACATACCCGCCTTTGGAGTAGAGGAAACTGAAATTTAAGATAAATCCCCCTTTATGGAAGATGAAATGAGGCTCAAAAAGGTTAAGTATCTTGGGCAAGACTGCCAGGTAGTAAGAGGAGGAACAGAGGGCATCTGATGGCAAGTCTTACGGTGCTTTTTTCCATTCAAGCTGGAACTTGCCATGTTTGTTCTTATCTCTCTTACTGAGCTATGAGCAAATTAAGGGCATAAGCCACATCTCAATTTCCTCAGCACCCTCTGAAGTATCTAGCAAATGGCCTTACACTTGGTCACTTTTCACTGCGTTTTTGTTGCCTGAAAGAACACATGCATGGATACCCGCAGGCACACAGGCCTCACTGACGGTGAGCGATTGTGGGCTGGGCAGCTTTGAGTACTTATTTCCAAGGCGGACTGTAACTTAACAACACAAAGTTCTAAAAACAAATTCTGTACTTGTGAAAGATGCCACCTGGCCTGCCTCAGGGGCTGAAGTTCTCTTTTTATGCACAGAGTGGGAACAGCACAGGCAGTGATGAGCTGGTTTTCTCCAAACCACTCCCACAAACCAGCTCAAGCCAAGACAAGGGCCCACACCTTTCGGGGAAGAGAGCTGTGCAGCCTCTGCTGCCCATTTAACCTCTGGTGTCACCGTGGAAACTGCCAACAGTCTAGGGAGGAGGGAAAGGTGGAGCAGCTTTAGTGCCAGCTCTGATGATGTAACCCTAAATTCCAGCTTTTCTGCCAGGAAAAAAAAAGGCAACTGGTTTAGAATCTAGTCCCCCCTCCCCCATACACACACTTAATACTCAACCAAAATCTAATTTGCATGACTAGCTTTTGTTGCGTACCTGACCACTAACTTTTTTTAAATCAACAGTACTTAGTGTCTAATTCAACTGACCGGTTTTGGTTCCTTGCAAAACAAACGTATGGACCCTGAAATGTGTGTATTTCATAAACGTCCCTTGTGCGAGAAGAACACAAAGTCTTCAGAAGTGTTTACTTTGCAAGCCACATACAAACACGGTGGGAGACCCGGAAACAACATGTATCTGAACACCACAAAGGCATGCAGTCAGTCGTGTTTCAGCGCTGCTAGAAACACCAGACGGCTTTTCCAGGACAGACTTCTGAAGTGGGATCGCATTTCAGAGCTTCATAAATTATAACACACGTGGGAGTCTCCTACCCAATATGCCTGCAGATGTTCCCTTTTGTGGGAGTGTCTAATTGGGGGCATTTGGTATTCATGTCCCTAGAAATCTTTAGGGTACAACAAATGGATGCCTTTCCCTGCATGTGATGACAAGATCCCAAAGTAGCCTTCTCCTATTTCTGAAAGTAGTTAATGTGAGCATACCCTTGCCTCCTGCACGGACAAGCTGGGGCAGACATACATTAGCCAGGCTGACATGGGGAATCTCCCAGGCTCAGGATATCTCTCCATGTCCATGGAGAGCAGATGGTGAGGATACAAGCATTTTCTTGCCAATTTTTACCTAATGTGGATCAGGCTATTGGTCTCCTGGGCCTCTGCCTGTCAAATGCACTGCATGAGGCTTGGGACTTCCTAGAAAGAGGCACAGTAGAAGCCAAAAAGAGTACAAGCCTCAGCTAGGGCAAGCGTCTGGCATTGCCTTTGGGCGGGTCCACATGGGATGCTTTTTCCATGACTCCTGAAAGAACTCTCCAAGTCTAAGCCTATTATCAATGCCTAGATAGTTAAAAGTTGACAGGATAGTATGAAACACAGAAAACAGAAGAGAGCTTAACACAATGCCAAGGATGGTACCAACCTCTCCTTACTCAGTTCCTAAAATCCATCCTATGACCTTGGCCTAACTGCAATGATGTTACTTCTTTTCTATGCTCTGAACCCTGCAAGAGTTAACCAAAGATATTAATAACTTTAGCAACTATGTAAGCCCTTAGAAGGTCATACCACAATTTGACCACTTTCCATTTTAACCTTTCTCTAAAACCTCATTTTTACAGCTTCTACTTAAGGACATTAAAACTTCTGGTCGTTTCTTTGGTATTACAAATGCAGCCAGTTCTAGTAAGTGAACTTGTATCAGACAGAAAAATGTACAACCTCTCAGTGCAGCATTTTCACATTTTCTTGTGAGAATTACTTACTGACCTAGAACACTGTCAATTATTTACTATTATTTGCTATTATTTACTGTGCACTGCATTTGTTAAAGTTTTAAAGGAATGGAAAGACTTGTTCCTTGCCCTTGAGCCACTTGCAATATAGTTAAAAGATGAAAATAAAATGCACACCACTAACTAAATCTATGGTGGGCAGATTATAAGAGTGATATAAATTCAGTACTAAGAATTCAGGGGGAGGTTAGGTGAATTGTGCTCGGGGAAAATGGGTGGTAGAGGGCATCTGAATAATGTCTTAGAAAATATGTAATATTTCAACACGAAGAGGGCATTAGAGGGCATTTTACATGGCGCTAACAGCTTCAGCAGAGGCACAGATGCAGGAAGAGTACAGGTGAATTAAGAAAACTTAAGTGATGGAGTCTGGCTAAAAGACAAGTTAGAGGAGGGGAAATGATAGGCAACTGATCTGGAGAATAAGTGTGGCCAGTTCTTTACATAAAAAGAGGAGGAAAACGTAGAAAGCTATATTTTAGAAATAGGAAATAAAATATCTTTTAAAATAAACCCTTCACTAGTAATTTCTCCCATCACATCTTCAACTTTGAGACTGAGAAACATTTTATTAGCAAGTTTACTTGCAAACTAGGTGCAGTAACTTCAATGAAAAACAATGTAGGTCTGGAAACAATGTTTCTCTGCGCTGACAAATTCTTGGCTGCAGCTGAACTAATAAATTCTTATTACCCACATCTTGTGATCATTTTCTCTTTTCTCATCACCAAAATACCTTCTTAGTTTAATTCATTATGTACCAACTGAGTAGCTACCCCAGAGCTAGTATTTGTTTACTTATTTACTCATCCTCTCCTTTTCTGCCCATACTTGTCCTGCTAACCACTTACTCACTCGTTCTCCTCGTGTAAACTGTATCAGTAATAACAACGTGAATAGCTGTTACGTGCTAAAGTGCCAGGCACTGCAATTCATGCTTTATGAACAGTATTCAGTAGAATCCTCAAAACAGCACCACGAAATAGGTATTATTACCCTTATTTTATGGATGAGGAAACAAGTTCAAAGATGTCAAATATTTTGCCAGCTGGCAAGTGGCAGAACCCAGGTTTAAACCAGGTATGCCTGACCCCGAGCCCTTACCTGTTACCACATCACTGTACTGCCTCCAAAACTCTTTGCCGTCTTACTGTTATGGGCCGGTATTTTCAATTAAAAATTAAAACGTTCATTGAGTGCCTGCTACTGTAAAATCCTGTTCTAGCTGCTATCAGAGGTCCATAAATAGATGAGAGAATGCCGGGGATTATTAATGCTCATAATCATCCGTATTTGAGTATAAACAGCTATGTCTTATATCAGTGTGTCAGATGGTATGTCCATGATTCATGAATTTGAGCAACTAAGGTCAGAGGGGGTAAAAACAGCTTAGTATGTGAATGTGGATGGTGACCACATCTCAGACAGAGATCAGCCAACCCTGACTAAATGACTTACAGAGAATTTTAATAATACATTTCAGTCAGAGTCTGTAAAAACTCTCTCTGCTGATGAAAAATCTGTCCTGTCAGAAGTTCCCAACCAAATCTGCTTACAATCCATTTTCAATGAACCTCAGCTTCCTTTGAAGTAGAATAAGCTAGTAAAGCATTTCAGCCAACAATAAGCACATTGTGAGGCTAGTCCCTATAAGATTCATTACCGATGAATAACGTTATTGGGTTAAACCACAAATGTGATATCAAACTACTTGTACCATGTAGCCTGAATGTTGTGAAAAGTTACATAGAACTATTTCAACACAGAAAAATAATTCAAACGTGTCATCTTTTTAAACTACCTGCTTTTAATATTCCCTTTACTAACTTCTGAATACTTTAGTATGTTAAGGAGACTAGTTACATTTTTACAAACAACTAGAATACCTAAAAATACACAAGAAATTGGGTAGGATGTTGTTCAGGATAACCGCACACACTCAGGGAGCATTTGGAAGGAGTCACAATTGTGGACTGTCTGTCAGGCACAGTATTCACACTGCAAATTGCACAACTAAGACTCATGCAAAGACCTCAGTGGCAAATACTCACTGCATTTACTCTGCAATCTAAACTCTGAATACAATTCATTTTTAAAAAACAAGTTGATAAAGAAAATCATTTCAAGAGTTCAAGAGGGGCAAAAGAAACAGCAAGCATGTCTGATTAACAAGGAGAAGCATCCGGCTACAAAAAATCAACAACACTGATACTTACTGTTCAATTCTGGGAGACAGGTACAGCTTAGGATACACCTGAGTGGCTTCAGTGTCTTCAAAACTGACAGAAAGGAGAGCCACATCTTCTCCTGGGTCTTCATTCACATCCTTAAACAGGTAGTGAAAACCACAATGTCATCAGTCTTGGAACACTGTTCTGGTGACCAGCTCACAGTCCACTAGCAAAAAGAGGCCGGGGGTGTGAGTTCCCCAGATTCGAATTTTGCAACTCCACACATCCTTTGCCACATACCTAGTCACTCTCCTAGAGTGAGAGCTTTCAAACTTTCTTTTTTTTTAATTTTATTTATTTATTTTTATTATTTTAAGTGGGGAGGTAATCAGGTTTATTTATTTACTTTTGTTTGGAAGGAGTACAGGGGATTGAACCCAGGACCTCCTGCATGCTAAGCACGTGCTCTACCACTTGAGCTATACCCTCCCCACTTCAAACTTTCTGACCAAGGCCCACCACAGTGAGGAAAAGACCCTCACTGATCTCACTTGTTCCCATGTTCCAAGAAGGGAAAAGTGAATCTGGCGATAAAGAATTAGACAAAAACAAAGTTAATAAATTACAGTACACATGTTGCTAGCAAGAATATATAATGGCTTATAATTTATATGAGATATACAAATGGCTTAAAATTGACTTTTCATAAGAAGAAAATGCATTATAAGCTTGATTTATATCACTAGATGACAATAAAACCTTAAAATACGCAGTAATTTTATTTTATTTACCTTGATGGTAAGTCATAAGTTATTTAAGTAGCAAATATTACCAAGAAACACATCACTATGAAGTGTGTCACTGTGCAAGCAAGTGTCAGGGTGTTACGTACACATCTGTTTAGTAACATGATTATGGATGGTTCGTATGGGAACCACAATACACACGTATCTTAAAAGTCTAGTTATAAGAATATTGTAAGACAAAAACATTATTGATCCAAATATGTATCAAGAAACATTGAAAGGATAACCAAACAACCCACAAAAAACTAAACGGATAACGATAAAGCTAAACTTACTGTAATTTATAATAAAAAGCAAGAATAGCCACAATCAAATGTCATAACCAACTCAAGTCAACACTGATGACACACTGATGAAGTGCCTGAATTAAAATTGTGGCACTCACAAGTATATACATGTGCTTTATGATTACTGCCAAATGCTGAGTATTTGTCAGACTTCTGAATAAAATACAAATTAGAGTAAATTCTTGTAGCATGTTGATATTAATTTATGAATAACAAATTTTAATAACACTTAATATAAGTTCTTTCAAAACTTAGTAGAATTGTCCATCTCTCACCTAGAGGGACTAGTAGGAACTGAGCCACATTTTTGAATCAGTTCTCAGGTCCTCAGGAGGGCTCAGCCGCCATCCTAGGAGGGTCCCAACCTAAACTTTAAGAATCACTGCCTGTCAGCACTGGGAATCTCAGATGTGATGTCCTTCCTTCTATTTAAAACTAACCCCAGCCCTGCTTCTCCTGCATCTTGGGGAGCTGGTGCTCACACTCAAGCTGCTCACCTCTAACAGCTTCAATGTCCTTGCTCTGCCTTCTACTGTGCCTATAGGATGCACAAGTGTAGCAAGTACATACAGGGATGGAAAAGGACCAGAAGCCTCTCCCATCTTAAAAAATAAAAATTTCAAAAAGAATGAAAAGAATCATGCTAGTCTCTACCTAGTTCCCTGGGTTCTCTCTCTCGCATGTCTCCTCCCCTTCACGGACTGCTGAAAGAGCCGTCTACACTCCCGGCCTCATTCCCTCTGCTCCCACTATAACAGCCTTCCAACCCCACCAGTTTATCAAGACTGCTTCTACCACCAGGACTGCAGCATCCACCAAACACAGCAAATGCATCGCGGTCCTTATCTCCTGATCTCTAAACAGTATTTGAGATGGACGATCTCTCTCCTCTGGAAATACTCTTTCTTGCTTCTAAGAAACTACACCCTCCTGCCTCTTTGGCCACATCCCCCTCCCTTTTCATTCTCTCTTTTTTAACTTCTCAGTTATATCAGTATATATCCTTTGTTGATGAGACATATTTCTTATTAGGTAACTAAAACTCAGCTTGTGGGGTCAAAGGTTATAAACATTTTATATTTTAACTGCACTTAATAGATTGTTTTTCTAACAATTTTGCAGCATTTCAGATTTGGACTTGTGAATTTGCATCAGTATGAGACAGAGTCTGTTTCCGTTCATCCCGAGTAACTGGATAACACTGGCTGTTGTCACCTTTTAATTTAATGCTGGCAATCTGATAGCTGGAAAAATGTTGAGTCTATTTAGATCCAATGAATGAAGCTGGGCAATTTTTTACTTATTCACGGGTCATTTATATTTCTCCTGTAAATTTTCTCTTCAAATCCTCTGCCCATTTTGCTTAAAGGTTCTTGGAGTTTTTTAGTTATTGTTGTTTATTAGATTTACTAACCCATGTCTATTACATGTGTTATAAATATTTTCTCTTTCTGACTTTTGATTTTGTCAGGGGGCTCTTCTCCAATCACAGAAAATTTAGATTTCTATAGAGTTAAATCTGATTTATAACTCAGAGGTTATTTAACTATTTTCCTAGTTTTTCATCTAACATTGTTACAATTTTATTTTTACATATAGATTTGTAATACGTGTATATCTGGAATATATTTTTAGGTGATATGATGGAGGAATATGTACAATGAAGACCTTAGTACAGTGCCGGGAACACAGAAACCGCTCAATGATTGAAGAAAGAATAAATCAATGAGCAAATTAACATTAATTCCTAACCTTTATTCTCCACATATGGCAATTTTCAAGAACCTGCATTACAAAAGTTGCTGTCACCACTATTTACAATAGCCAAGACATGGAAACAACCTAAATGTCCATCCACAAATGACTGGATAAAGAA